ATTATTATTATTATTATTATTATTATTATTATTATTATTATTATTATTATTATTATTATTATTATTATCTATTTGGTCAATTTAATAGTATTAATTTAATTTACCAAATAAAAAATACAAATAATAATTTTTAATATTATAAATTTATTCAATAAAATATTTGAATTTTTCAAATTTCATATCCATAGGCTTTATTCTTTTACAATTATATTCGAAACAAATTGGTGTTACCTCTTTGATCCAACATTCAACCAATTTTTTGTGAAGTTGAAGGAGTCATTTTGTTCCACTAAATTATTATTATTATTATTATTATTATTATTATTATTATTATTATTATTATTATTATTATTATTATTATTATTATTATTATTATTATTATTATTATTATTATTATTATTATTATGTATTTATTATTATTATTATTATTATTATTATTATTTTTATTATTATTATTATTTATTATTATTATTATAATTATATGATGAATTAAATAGTCAAGTAAATTAAAATTTTAATTAATAAAAAGTATATGTATTTATTTCAAACTTAATTTATATATTTCTAATATTCTATTATTAGTATTTTTACATTGAATTTGAAAATTATGCAAGAAAATATAAACTTTTAATATTTTAAAATGATGCAAGTCATAAATTATAATTGCTTTGACCAGAAAAATTATAATAGCTTAATTAATGACTATTATATCTAAATATATATATAAAGAATTAAAAAAGAAACTTAAAAACGAAGAAACTAATAAATAATGTCTAATCAACAAAAGTATTTATATCATTTGACTATAAATATTTTGTTTTTAAACCCACAGTAAATAAATCCCACTAGTTTTAATTAATAAATTTATAAGTAAGCAGCAAAATATTTTTTTTCTTTAAATTTATTTTGGGATTCATTTTGATCCCTAATTTTAAAAAGTTCTAAATTGATCTTTTAATTTTTTAAATAGTATTACGTTTATCATTTTCGTCGCTGTTAGTCAAAGTTAATGGTAGCGTACAAATGACGCACACGTGTAATTGGTGTGGAATCTGTCACCCATGTGGAATCATGTTTAAGTATGACGTAGTACATGTGTATCACCAAAAATCACTACCACTAAGTCACTTTACATTTTTTTTATTAATAATTACAAACTAAAACTATATTTTTTTTTTGCTTAATCTAACACAAACCATTATTCTTCTTCCAACTCTCATAATAACATTTATTGCAACCTGGAAGCTCTCTGAAATAATATTTGGTAAGAAATTCAAACATTGATACTTAATACCCATGATAGCTAATCAAGGAACATGCTTTTACTTTAATGGATAGTGTAAACCGCTCACATGTTCTGTTTCATTTCCCAAACAGAGCAACAACACATGTCTAAATGACTTTACTATATCACTCATATGGACACTAACAACAAACTTGAAACAGCTTCAACAAGAATATATGTGTGAATGCAAAGATTCTCATTTTTATGATTTCCCTTTCTCTTCCATTTTAAATCTATGTTTTCTTCCATTTTATATACATTGACATCCACCTTATAAAATTCATAGATATATGCTACTGCAGGGCGGTTCTTGGGCCCGGCCAAATTGGACACATGTCCAGGCTGGGGGGTTCAATATTTTTTTTCATGTTGTTTAAAAAAAATAAAATAAAATTTAAAAAAATGAAAAAGAAAAAGAAAAAAAAAATTGAATAGAAAAAAAATGTAAGGGTTCACCATTCACGCAAAATAGAAGAAATACAAATTACAATCGCCTCCTCCACTGTACATCTCGCCGCACCGCCACTATTCCGCCAACGTCGTCCAACTCGTCGCACCGCCACTATTCCGCCAACGTCGTCCAAAAATCGCCCCTACGTCCAACTCCGCAAATTCAAAATCTATGCCGCCACTTTCACTGTGTTCTGAAATTAGCCAATGTGAGTTCTGTCATTTGCTATGTTTAAGTAGAAAATTTTACAATTTGTTATGCTTATTTCCAATTTTTTGATGTAGAATGTTGATGATGACAGCGATATTTATTATGTTTATTTACAATTTTATGATGTAGAAAAATTTGTTGACAGTGAAAAAGTGAGATTGTTGATGACAAAAAAAATTGTAGAAAATTGTGGAATGGGGATTGTAGAAAATGGTTGGTGAAATTTGTGTGGAATTGGTTTTCAATTTCTTATGTTTGGAATTGGTTGAATGAAAATTTGTAAAAAATTGTAGAAAATTTGCTTATGAACAATTCAAACCAATTTTCTTATGAATGAAAATGTAGCATAGAAAATTTTCTTAGGAATGAAAATTTGCTTATGAAGAATCCAACCCAATTTTTTCTGGCAATAAAAATTGTAAAAAATTGGTTGAATGGAATTGAATTTGGACAGTAAAAATTTGATGACAGTAAAACTTTCTATAATTTTAGCATAGAATCCAAACCAATTTGATGACAGTAAAAATTTGCTTATATTATGCTGGTAGAATTGAATTTGTTTGGAATTGGATTTGCTATGCTAAGTGCTTATGGAATTGGAATTGGATTTTCTATGCTAAGTGCTTATGGAATTGAAATTGAATTTGCATACTATAAGTGCTTATGGAATTGGATTTTCTATGCTTATTATAAGTGATAATGAATTCAATGTTTTTTTTATAAGTGATTATGTTTGGAATTGGATTGATTAAGTGATAATGAATTAAAAAAAAAAATTATAAGTGATTATGTTTGGATTTTTTTCCAGAGATGAGGAGATTTTTGGTTGAGTCAGAACCAGAACCACCTCCGCCTAATGTGGTTAATGAGTTTAACCCAAATGAGATTGTGCGTGATCCAGGTCGTAGGAAACAAATTAATGAGTATGCTCCGGATATTCAAGATCAAGTGAGGAGGGCATATATATTGAAAGGTCCAATGCAACCAGAATTGCCAAGCTTTCCTCGTACTCCATTTGGAAGTGTTAAAAGAGCATTTAGTAAATCATGGTATAAGAATTATACATGGTTAGAATACAGTGAGATTAACGATGCAGCTTATTGTTTTTATTGCTTTCTCTTTAAGAAACCCGGGAGGGCCGAGCACTTTGGTTTTGAAGTCTTCACTAAAAGCGGATATAAAGATTGGAAGCATGCATCTCAAGGCTTGAAACATCATGTTGGTAGTCATAATAGTTTTCACAACTCATGTGTCAAGCACTACGATGATTACAATAATCAAAGACAAAGTGTGGCAAGTAAGTTTGTTAAAGCAACCAAGGAATCAGAAGAATTGTATAAAATTCGTTTAAATTGTTTTGTAGATTGTTCAAGATATCTCATTGCACAAGCCATGGCTTTCCGTGGCCATGATGAATCCTCTATTTCTCTAAATAAGGGAAATTTTAGAGAGATGGTAGATTGGGTAAAAGTTAAGAATGAACAAGTGTGAGATGCTTTTGACCGTAGTGGAAAAAATTGCACAATGATTTCCAGTGACATTCAAAGGGAGCTTGCAATGTGTTGTGCACATGAAGTTACCAAGGTGATTTTGGGAGAGCTTGGTGATAGACAATTCTCCGTGCTTATTGATGAGTCACGTGATATATCCGTCAAAGAGCAAATGGCGGTGATGTTGAGGTTAGTAGTTGTATTTTCCAATTTCTAATTTTCATTACCTATTATTCTTTATGCTGCCAAGTAAACTTGTCGAATTTGTTTTAGGTTTGTGAACGACAAAGGGAATGTTGTGGAACGATTTATTGCTCTATATCATGTCAAAGATACGACATCTGAGTCATTAAAGGATGCTCTTTATGGTATTCTTGATAAGTACACGTTATCTATTTCAAGGATACGGGGCCAAGGATATGATGGAGCTTCAAATATGAGAGGTGAATTTAATGGTTTGCAAAGAAAGATTCTAGATGAAAACCCTTATGCTTTCTATGTCCATTGTTATGCTCACCGTTTGCAATTGGTTGTTGTGTCTGTTACTAGTAGTTGCTCATCTATTCATGATTTCTTTGAGTACATCTCCTTGATTGTGACCACAACAAGTGAATCTTGTAAGAGGAGGGATGCTTTGACGGAGGCACAACACCAAAATATTTTAAATAAACTTGAGAGTGGTGAGATATTTAGAGGAAGGGGCTTGCACCAATCATCTAGTCTCATTAGACCCGGGGATACTAGATGGGGTTCACATCATACTGCATTGCTTCGTTTGGATCAAATGTGGTCCTCTGTGTTAAATGTGCTTATTATGGTTGATGAAGATGGACGTGGACCATCTCAAGCAGCAGGTTTGATAGAAAAAATGGAGAGCTTTAAATTTGCTTTTATTTTGAAGTTAATGTTAAAGTTGTTTGGTATTACAAACGAGCTTTCACATGTCTTGCAAAGAAAAGATCTTAATATTGTGATTGCCATGAAATTAGTTGATGTTGTCAAAGCTCGGTTGGCCACAATGAGAGATAGTGGTTGGGATGATTTATTTGCTGATGTCCAAGAATTTTGTGTTGCTAAAGGTATTCTGGTGCCAAATATGGATGACGAAATACCGGTTCAGGGTCGTTCAAGGGTGGAAGGAAGAACTATCACTAATCTTCATCATTACCGTGCAGAGATTTTTTATGTTGCTATTGAAAAAATATGTGTGGAGATGGATCACCTCTTTAGTGAAGGAAGTAACATTATCCTTGATTGCTTCTCATGTCTTGATCCCAAGAACTCTTTCTCAAAGTTTGATGTTGATAAGCTTACTCGTCTTGCTGATATTTATCATGTAGATTTTTCTGATGATGACCATGGAACAATAAGTGATCAACTTGACACTTATGTTCTTCAAGTGAAAAGAAATGCTTCATTTTCCACTTGTGAAGATGTTCAAAGTTTGGCTATAAAGATGGTTCAAACTGAGAAACATTTGGTATTTCCATTGGTTTAAAAACTTATTGAGTTAGCTTTGATATTGTCGGTGTCGACAACATCCGTTGAAAGAGCTTTTTCAGCAATGAAGATTATCAAATCTAAATTGCGTAATAAGATCAACGATGTGTGGTTCAATGACTTGATGGTATGTTACACCGAGCAGGAGATATTCAAGTCACTTGATGATGTTGATATTATTCGAACATTCACAGCAAAGAAGTCTCGAAAAGGACATTTGCCTCATAATTTTATTTAACATGCTATTGTAAGATTATGTTTCATCTCTTTCATTTTAAATTATATTTTTGTTAATAAAATGACGAGTCTTTTTCATTTTTATTGATAGTTATTTATATATTATATACAATGTAAATTTACAGTTTTAAATTTGTGCCCAGACTTTATAATTTTTCTGGCTTCGCCATGTGCTATTGCTATTTTATATTTGTTTTTGTTTATTCATCTCATTTGTTTCTGTTTAGTCATCTATGAACTCCTTCAAAGAGAAACTAAGAGAAAGAAAAAGTGGAGATAACTAATTGATTATCTGAAATATGCGTACTTCTCACAAAGAGTATGATGTATTCATTGACCACCGATATATCTGGATGGGAATCTCGCAGCTATAGGCAACTATTTAATTTAATTTAATTCCTCTGAACTCATATATTCATTCTTATTTTCTATAAACTTTTCAAACTGCATATAGTTATATATTTTATGTTGAATTTGTGTGATGAACATGAAATGATAGATATTTTCTCTAAGTTTAATTTGTTTATTTGTTTTTTCTTCTCTCTTTTTTAGTGATTATTCTCAAGTCATCAACAATGTTGTGTACGATGTTTTGGAGAAGTTGTCCTTCATGTATTCTAATGAGCTGAAAAACCTTGTTAAAGTTGATGAAAACAATCAACATATTGTGCCATATTTTGCAGATAATGTGCATGACGGTGCAGGTGTCGAGGGAGGAGGTAACAGGATGTTGTTGTTGTTGGCGTCGTGTCTATTTGTATTAACTTGTCTTTGGAATAGGATTGTGAAACTGGATTTGAAAATTATGAGAAAAGTACAATAAAGGAATGAATTTGATGATAATGTGATAATAGAAGATGATGAGTGAAGGAATAAATTTTTTAATATATATCTGATTTGTAAAAGAAATAAACAAATGCAACGTGGCCTAGTGGTGCAATATCTTTCCAACCAACCAAATAGGTGTGGGTTTGATTCTTGGTGAAGAAAAAGTTTTGGAATTTTTTTGGAATTTTGGTAACCTTGGTAATTAACATATGCCACATCAGATGCCATATGTGTGAACATATGCCACATTAGATGTCACACGTGCAAAAATAGAAGTCGTTTGTGTAAATTATACCAAAAGGACCTAAATGACGTCGTTTGAAGACATAAGGGACTACATTGACACTTTTTAAAATTAAGATACCAAAATGGATCTCAAGGTAAATTTAAGGGGTTAAAATTGAGTATTTTGCCATAAATTTAATTTTAAACCTTGGTAGTATTTTATTAGAGATTAATTAATATGACTGTGAGTATAAATTTTTTACACGGTCAGTACATCACACCTATTCATATATATTACTTCATATATGATTAAGATAAAATTCAAACATTAGTAAAAACTTAATGGTCACTATTAAGAAATGTGGTTGGGTTTAACTTAATTCTACAAAATCAGTTTGTAGGTTGAGGATTCCCCTACTTATAAGTACATGTTCAGACCATATATTATCCTATGTGGGACTCTTAACACACCCTCTCATGTCCAGGACTGAACATCTGGAGCATGGTAATAAATGGTTGGTGTTAGTGCTCAATAAGGAAGAAGATGAAAATGATGGATATGGAAGAGAGAGAAGAGATAAAAGTTATAACTAACTTTTCAGCAGAAAAATGATTACACTACTGAATTTTGTTACAGATTTGGTTTTATACACAGGTCTAATCTAAATGAAACTCAAATTAACTCCAAATACAGCTTAAATGACAATACTAACTAACTGAATTTGGATTACACCCTAATATCATTCCTTAATCCACATTCAAGACTAAAATCAACAATGCTAATTATATCCCTCAAATGGATAAAGTGTTCAATCTTAATTGTTGTGGTTAGCACATCTGTCAGGTGATTCTGAGTGCTACAGTGCACAACTTCAAGCAGTCCATTCTAAACCTGGTTTCTCAGAAAATGAAACTTTGTGTCAAAGTGCTTGCTTTTTCCATGTAGCACATAATTCTTGGCAAGACTTATAGCTGATTTGTTATCAATCATCAACTTCATAGGCTTGCTTACCTTGATCTTCAGATCCTGCAACAAGCTCAAAATCCACACAGCTTGACAAACAGTCAAAGCACCTACAATGTACTCAGCTTCACATGTTGTCAATGCAACCACTGGTTTCTTCTTGGAGCACCAAGATATATGACCTCCTAGATATTTGAAGAAATATCTAGAAGTAGTTCTTTTGTCTACTTTGTCTCCATAACAATCAGAGTTTGAATAGCATATCAGCTCTGAATCAGATTTAGCATCAGATGGGAACTAAACTTCATACCTCAGAGTCCCCTTAATATACCTCAGTATCCTGACAATAGTTATGTAATGTGACCACTTTGGTTTGTTCATAAACCTACTCATCATTCCAACTGCATAACAAATATCAAGTCTGGTATGATAGAGATATCTCAGTGAACCTACCAACTGTTTAAAAATTGTAGCATCTACATCATCACCCTCAACATTAGAATCCAACTTGTGATTTGTTTCAGCAGGCGCGATTGCAGTCTTGCAATTAATGAGCTCAAATCTCTTCAGAAGCTCAAGTTCATACTTCAACTAATGCAAGGTTATACCCTTATCAAAGTACATAATCTTCATCCCTAGAAAATATGTCATATTTCCCATATCAGTCGTCTCAAACTCATTCAATAACACCTTCCTGGACTTAGCTATCTCATATGAACATCTCCTTGTAAGCAATATATCATCAGCATAAAGGCGCATCATAATCATATTGCTATCAAATGTATGCCGATAATAAACACCATACTTCATATCACATTTTATGAATCCTTGAAGCTTGAAAATGAATCAATTTTCAGATTCCATGCTCTAGGAGCTTGTTTCAGTCCATACAAGCCTTTATGCAACTTGTACACCATCCCTTCCTTATTCTTTTTCACAAATCCAAGAGGTTATGACACGTGACTTCCTCTTATAAAAGACCATTCTAAAATGTAAATTTCATATATAAATACATCATAGGCCAATTTCTATTAGCAGTTATAGCAATCACCGGTCTGATTATTTCATGTCTAGCTACAGGTGCAAACACTTCAAAGTAGTGTAAACTAGATTTTTTAGAAATCCTTTAGCTATTAACCTTGCTTTCTGTTTTCCAGTTGATTCTTCTGGCTTTAGTTTCACCTTGTAAACCCATCTCACGTTGATGAATTTCTTGTTCCTTGGAAGCTCAATCAACTCCCAAGTCTTGTTTCGTTCTATAGCCTCAAGTTCTTCTTTCATAGATTTCGGACATACTTCTTCCTTGAGAGCTTCTTCAGTACTCACTGGTTCAAAGTCTACCATCATGGCACACTGAATGACTTCCCCTTCAGATTCTATCTTAGTATCTCATAACATGTCAAACTCTGCAAATCTTCTTGGTATTTATCTGACTCTTTATGGTCTCTGAACTTGTTCAAAATCTTTTGCAAATGCTGGAACAATATCAAATGTTGGACTACCTTCAGAGTCTGGTCCACCTTTAAAGGCATGATTACCACCAAAGTATTGATCATCATCTGAATCTGGATCATAACAAATTCACCTTCTGAGTCAGACTAGTCTTTAAACTCATCTTCAGCATCAGAGTCACCTTCAGACTTTATTTCATCTTCATAGGCAGAATCTCCTTTAGAGGAAAATTCTCCTTTAGATTCTGGAATATCTTCAGAGGTTAACTTGGGTGTTAACATTGCATCACAGTTGGATTAATACTTATTCCAATCCCACACTTCTATTTCTTTCACAGTAACATCTCTGTTGAATTCAACTTTGTTAGTAACAAGACAATAGAGCTTATAATCACTTGTACTGTGGTACTGTATAAGCAATATAACTCTGATTCTGTCATCCAACTTCCTTCTCTTAGCATCTGGAACATGTTTATAACAAACAAAACGAAACACCTTCAGATGGCTCACATTTTTCTTATCTCGAATCTACTTCTCTAAAGGAAAAATTTCCTTTAGCTTCTTAGTTGTACACCTATTGAGAATATATGTTGCAGTGGAAACAACTTTTCCCCATAATGTGTGAGGGAGCTTCTTCTCCTTCGACATGCTCCTTATCATATCAAGCAAAGTTATGTTTCTTGTTTCAACAATACCATTATGTTGAGGAGTTTATGGAGCAGTAACCTCATGATCAATTCAATTCTCCTCACATAAATTCTTGAACTCTGTAGAGTTGTACTCACCTCCACCATTAGTTCTGAGAATTTTCAACTTTTGACCACTTTGTTTTTTAGCCTTCACCTTGAATTTCTGAAACTCAGCAAACACCTCATGCTTAAACTTGATGAATGCTACCCATTTCATTCTTGTGAAATCATCCACAAAAGACACAAAGTACTTGTTTCCTCCATGTGAAGGTACTTAAAATGGTTCATATACATTAGAATGCACTACTCCTAAAGCATGTTTTTCTCTTGGGGCTGCTTTTGATGCAAATAGTAATCTTGGTTGCTTTCCCTTCATGCATATCTCACATGACTTCTAAGGCTTTAAAATCTTAAGAATGCCATATACCAGCTTCTTATAACTTAGATGTTCTAATCTTTTGAAGTTCATATGCCCCAATCTTTTGTGCCATGACTCATTGTCACCTTCATCACCTTCTGCACTAAGGCATTTAGCGTCAGCTGTTTCCACATTCATCGTGAATGTACTGTTACTTCCTTGTTCATAGTGCATAATTAGCTTCTAATCAGAATCATACAACTTCAAGAGATTGTCCTTCATAGTAACTGAGAAACCTTTCTCAATTAGTTGACCTACACTCATAAGATTGCTCTTCATCCCAAGAACATACCAAACATTCTCGATCAAAATAGTTTTGCCACTCTTCACTATGACCTTGACATTTCATATTCCTTTAGCATTCAGATACTTATCATCAACACATCTGATTTTGTTCCTCTTTCTAGAGTAAAAATTAATTAGCCA